CTGAAAAATCAGTGTATAATGATTTCAACTGGCATGGGCAATAGGCACGTGGTGTGTTTGCTTACGTTTGAGAGCATCTTATGTTAGTGACATTTGAGAGCAGACATATCTGTAGCCAAAGTGGAGAGAAAATTATTCCTGTGTCAGGTGTTCGAGAGCATCTAGAGGGCAGGCCGGAGTGAAATCCATATCATGCACAGGTTTCCTCTTTTCCATAAAATTCATGCTTGAGGAGGTGTCTGAGGTCAGCCTTCCTCAGGCCTTGTGTCTTATGGTGCCACCCTGCCTGGCTGTGAACACCTCAGAGGAGGTGCCCACTGGGAATTGAATGTTGGTGCTATGCATGGGAGAGCAGAGGCCCCAGGATCGGATGCACACTCTCTCAACTGGAGGAACTAGTCAAACTGTCATTGGGTGGACTGTTAGTGATATCTACAGTGATTGAGCACTGTGAGTTGTCCCACAACTGATAGGGAGCTGAGGGCCTGAGCAGGTACTGTAACAGAACTTGATTCGTCTCCACTGTGTGAAAGTGTTTCTTATGCTTGCATCTAGAAAATACCATGTGGCCCTGTGAGTAGTGTTTCAGTCCAACAGGAAGTGATATCAGACAAGACATATGGTCAGCAAACTTGTCCTCTCAGGTAGCAGAGTAGCACAAATGTGAAATGTGTGTGTAAGACACTAGGAATGGGCCCAAAATGCTTTAACATGTATATCTTTATTACAGAGAAGAATAAAACCATGGACAGTAAGAACTTTTAAACATTTAAAATGTTTTTATTTTGGGATGACAGTCTTTGGAGTGGATGTAAAGCAGGAAGGGGAACAGCATAGAATGCCCAATCACATTTTAAGTAGAGGTAATCAGAATTGCATTTTAAATAGAGGTAATCAGAATTGCCACTTTGCCAAGTCTCAGGGTCACAGTTCACTTTGTAGGGCACACTCCATGCAGTTTCACTGGACAGCCATCAGGTGGAGATGTCATTTAGAGCTCAATGGATGCATGTGAAAGAACAAAGTAGCAGCTTTATTTGAAATGTCAGTAAGTATGGCATATTGGGACTTAAGTCATCTGCAGTGTTTACTGGTTGTTCAGAATTCTTCCAAGGGGTGGGTATTTGACAGTGTGAAGACCACTGGTTTAGGGAAGCAGAAATCCAGAAACCTGGGAACTTTGGGAGCATGGGAGAAGCATTTAAGGGAATGTTGGAAACCCCTGCCAGACTTCCTTTCCCAGGGGAAATAGTGTCATGGAAGTGTGTGAGATTAGCAGGATGGATGTCAGCACCTGGCACTGTGTTTTCAGGCTTCTGAGGATGTCCATCTTTGAGGAGTCAGTTATATTCACACAATAAGCAGAATTCCTATTTCCAGTGATGATTTGGGCTCAGGTTGGTGTGGGGAGCCACATGACCTTCTGGCTGTCATTGGCATGGGCTGTGCACTTGTCCATAAAGGAGCTGAGGATGCCGGGAAGGAGGGGCATGACGTGGCCTCTCAGATGGGGGTCCATGATATTGTTCCTTTTACCAAGACTACCTGTAAAAGAATTTGCCTGGAAAGATTTCTTAAGAATAAGAGGGGTGGAGCTGCAGTTTGTAATTGTAGAAACAAGTGAATGGCAAGGATGATTTCTTAAGAATAAGAGGGGTGGAGCTGCAGTTTGTAATTGTAGAAACAAGTGAATGGGCAGATGAGCAGATGGCAGCAGGTCAGGTGCTTGTTAAGGAAGGGCATGCTTGCGTGAAGAGGGTCCGCACACTCTTCTCAGAAGGACCTGATGCTCATGCAGATAGTTCTCAGGGTGCAACACCTTGTGTGCATGCTGGCAGGGAGCACCCCATATCTGTTAGTTGGAGAGATAAGACTGAAAAGAATCTGGGAGTCAGTGAAATAGAAAACCCTTCCCACTGCAGCCCTGAGTCTTAGCTGATGACTTTCTTATTTAAAACAGTATTTAGAATTTAAAAAATGATAATATCATAAGTGAATCCAGTGGTGTTTGGAATGCTGGGTACTTTGCCATGGTGGCCATACTTCCGGAGTTTAATTGCAGAGCTTCAATTTAGGAGCCCAGTTTGTTCCAATAGTATATTTATGTCTTTAGCCTCCTGATCTTCAACTAAGTTTATTTATTTATTTGGTTTAAACGTGCTGAAGAGGAACTGTGTCACTGTTCCTTCCTCAGACGCGGTGTCCATGTGGGGCTCTAGGGTTCATCTCCTTGTTTTTCTTTGGTATGCATGTGGCTTATTGAAAACAGCCACTGGTCTACATGAAGCACCTTTGTGACAGCAAGTGGTCGTAAGTTGGATTTAGATTTCAGAGTCAAAACATTTCTTTCTGCAGAAATACGAGGAAGTGAGCAGAACATTTTAATTTTATTTGCAATGCAGGGAAATAACTTCTATCACAAATCTTTTTAAACCCTTAGTGATTTTCCTGTGAATTATTCCATCCGTCCAGGAGAAGGAGATCAAAACTTACCTAAATACCCATTGCACACTTTTCTCCTCCAGTGTTCAAAGAACTACCATTTTTATTAGTATGTCATTTTTATTAGTATGCCGGTTAGTATGTCTTCAGACAGAGGAACAGCTAGCAGGCAACTGTGTCAACCTCACAGTTGTGAGTTGGAGTTCTTTGGTTTCTCTGGTAGTAGGCAAAGCTGCCCACCTGCTGCTGACCAGGTTTCTAGCCTGCTATGCCTGTTCCTGTATTCCTTCATAGTCCCAGTATGTCCTGGACAAGATGCAACAGTTCTGACCTAAATACCACAGAACTCAAAAGAAAAAAAAGTGTATGAATTCACCTGAATTCCAGGTGCAGCAAGTGAAGGCTCAGGGGGAAGCATCCTCAGTAACAAAGCTGGTTCAGTGGGGGTTGAACCACCATCGCCATGATTCACAGTGGCTGGTGGTAGCATTTAGGATGCTTAGTGGGTTTGTGGGTGGCAGGGAGAAGCTTGAAAATTGGAGGAGCTGCCACCAGGGCACCCTCTTCTCATTTAGGTCTCGGCCTGGGCTTCTCTGCTTTTATCTGTCTTCCATGTTGGGGTTTAGTTATGAGTTTGTTTGAAATATAATTCCATTGGGGAAAAAAGGTAACAGGAGCTATGTGTTTTTCTAGGGCCCTACTATAAATAAAGTGATTTCATAATCTGTAAATATTAAATACTGTGCTTGGAAAACACTTATTTTCCTTTGGTATGCACATGTTATTTTTAAATTAATTTCACAATAGAATGCATTTTGACATATTATACACAAATGGAGCACAACTTCTCATTCTTCTGGCTGTACATGTGCACATGGCTTATTGGTAACATTCACTGGGCAACAGTAGCATGAAAGGAAGAGCAACAGAAGTCCCTCACTGAGTGAGACCAAGAGTGTGTGTGCCACGTGCTAGCATAAGCAGTTTCTGTTGATTTGTTATTGCTAGAAACAAAGTGGTTATTTGCTAAATATGTGGCATTTGGTTTAACTGAAATGACATTAATATCTCCCAATTTCCAGAGGCAGGTAGAGATCAGTCTGGATTGCATGGAATACAACATTTTAAAACAAACCCTGAAATAACAGTGACTTAAAGAGAGAAATTAACTTTTCTATAGCATAAAGAAGGGCCAAAATTAGGGCATCAAGGCTGTGGATGTTCCTTTGTCATCCACAAAGGATGACACCTTTGTGTAACTAGGGATACAGGCTCCTTCAACTTGGCATTCTCCTATCCTTAGCTCATATCTTCCATCTCGTGGACCAATACGGATGCTGGGAGCCTACAATCTCTTCTGCTTTCTATCCAGGAGCAAAGGAGGACAATGGAGAGGGGCATACTCGGTGCTGCAAAACCTATGTTTTAGGAGTCGCACACCACATTTCTGCTAATGTCTTACCATCTAGAACTTGGTCACATGGCCATTATGAGCTTCACAGAGAGCAAGAAGAGGGTCTTTAACTTAGAAATGGAATATGAAAACTTTTATGTAGACGGTCAGACAGAAACTGTTCTAGGTTTGTGGGCCATAGAGTGTCTATTGCAGCCACTCATGTCTGCCATCGTGGTTTGGAAGCAGCCCTAGGCAGGATATATGAGCACACATCATTGTATCCCATAAAGATATAAGAGAAGACTCACATTACTAAAATCAGTAAAACTTTATGAACACTGAAATTTGTGCTCCATGTAATTTCCACACCATAGAATATTATTATTTTGATTTTAAGTCAGTTAACAATGCAAAAAATTTTAGCTTGTAGCCCTTATAAAAACAGGCAGTGACATTTGGTTTACTGGTGGGAATTTGCCAATTCCTATTCTGTACTGCTATAAGTCTGGTTAAAGCTCAAGCATTTCAGAAAGGACATCATCTCTTGATAAGAAGTTCATTCCATAAAAAGTGACAATCATAAGCACATAGGCATCTAATAACAGGGCCCCCAAATATATGAAGCAAAATTGACAGAATTGAAGGGAGAAGTGAAAAGTTCTACAATAATAGTTGGAGACTTTAACAACCCATTTTCAATAACCGAACCACCACAAAGAAGATCAATGAGGAAATAGAGGAATTGAGTAAATGCATAAGCCAATTAGACCTAACAGATGTATAACATAATGCCCAATAAAGCAACTACACATTATTCTCATGGGCCTGTGGAACATTCCCTAGGAATATGTTCAACTATAAAACAAACATTTAATAAATTTATAAAAAATTTAAATAATGCAAAGTCTCTTTTTTTTACATCAGTGGAATGAAAGTAGAAATCAATAACAGAAGGAAAATTGGAAAGATGATAAATATCCAGAAATTAAACAGTGCACTCTTAAATAGCCAATGGCTTAAAGAAAAAAAAATCACAAGGGAAATAAACTACCTGTGGAGAAATGAAAGCAAAAGCACAGAATACCAAGCCCTAAGGGATGCAGCTAAAGCTTCAGTCAGAGGAAACTCATAGCTGTCTACACCACATTAAAAAGAAGAGTCATTGCTCGCTTCAGCAGCACATATACTAAAATTGGAATAATACAGAGAAGATTAGCATGGTCTCTACACACGGGTAACATGCAATTCATGAAGTGTCCCAGGTGAGAAAAAAGGAGCAATCTTAAATCCGTAAGCTAATTGCACACCTTGAAGAATTAGAAAGGGCATTGCAAACAAGTCTAGGGAAAGAAAAAGATTAGAATGGAGATAGATAAAGAAAATCAGTAAAACAAAATTATTTTGTGAAAAGATCAACAAAATTGACAAACCTTTACAAAGATGGACTAAAAAAAGAGAAGACTCACATTACTAAAATCAGAAACGACAGCATTGCTTATTGACAATAGGAATAAAAAGGATTATAAGAGAACATTGTGCAGACCTGTATAACAACGAACTATATCACCTGAATGAAATGAATAGATTCCTAGGAACATCCGACCTATAAAGACCAACTGTGAACCCTGAACAGACCTGTAAGTAGTAAGGAGACTGAAGCAGTAACCAAACCTCCCAGCAAAGAAAAGCCCAGGACTAGAGGGCATCACTGGTGAGTTCTTACCAAACACTTGAATAATCCAGTTTTTCTCAAGCTCTTAAAAAAATGGAGAGGAAAGAACTTCCTGTCTCTTGTGAGGCTAGCACTAGTGTGACAATCATAAGCACTAGTGACAGAGGTATCGTGTATCCACCATTATAGTGGAATTTGTTTTGGGCAAGGGTGTCCAATCCCTCCAGTGGGGAAGAAGTAGCCTCTTAAAGGTACTGGGAGAGTGCTGGGAGAACAGGACATCCACCTGCAAACAATGAAGTCAGACTCCTGCCTCCTGCCATATACAAAAATTAAAAGTAGTCAGAAGCAAAGCCTAAGTGTAAGAGCTAAACAGTAAAGTTCTTAGAAGAATTAAGCAGGGCACATCTTCATGATCCTGAGTTTGGCATTTTTTTTTTTATAACATGACACCAGAAGCACAGGTAACAAAAGGGAAAAAAAGAAGATAAATTGGACTTCATATTGGGGAAAACTTGTATGTAAAGGACACTATGAAGAGAGTAAGTCAATTCATTCATAGAAGAAACCATTTGTAAATCATATAAGGTTTAATTCTAAGAATATATAAATCACCCCTCCAACTCACATCAAAAGGACAAACAGCCCAATTAAAAACAGGCAAAGGACGTGGATCGACATTTCTGCAAATGTGATATGCAAGTGGCTGACATGTGCCTGAAAAGAGGCTCAGCACCATTACTGACTGGAAAATGCAATCAAAACCACAGTAATATGCTCCTCTACACAACAAAGGAAAATAATCACAGTGACAAAGGGAGATCACAAGTCCTGGGTGGGATGTGGAGAGTAGTGCCCTCACAGATGGCTGGGGCAGAGTAAAAAGGTTCAGTAGTTTCTCACAAAGTTCATGGAACAAACATTTCCATTCCTTCCTGTGACCCAGCAGTTCCACCTTGGTGTAAGCCCAGAGCATTAGATAACAGGCCTCAACAGCTCATGGCAGTCCTACGCACTGTGTCCATAATGTGGAAACAGGCCTGGGCCTGTGACCATCAGTGCATGAACAGAACAGCACCCTGTGGTGTGCATCTTCCATGAGGAGAATGAGGCTCTGACACCCGCTGCCACAGGCATGAACTTTTATTTTATTTTATTTTTTTGGCGGGTGGAGGGTACTGAGGATTGAACTCAGGGGCACTTGACCACTGAGCCACATCCCTAGCCCTATTTTGTATTTTATTAAGAGACAGGGTCTTGCTGAATTGCTGAGGCTGGCTTTGAACTCATGATCCTCAGCCTCCCAAGCTGCTGGAATTACAAGCGTGTACCACCATGCCGGATCTACAGGCATGAACTTTGAAGATGGCATGCTGGAGGTAATAAGCCAGATGCAAAAGGATAGCACTGAATGTCCCTGATGACACGGAAGAGGAAGATTAAAGAGAGCATGGTAGAAGTGGCCAGGGCGGAGGAAGCAGAAATGGGAAGTCAACACTTTTGGGGTACAGAGTTACTGTTGGGGTGTTGGACAGTCTTAGAAATAGATATCATTGAGATTGCACAATATTGTGAATCCAATTAATGCTGTTGAAAGTGGCTAAAATGGCAAAATTTGCTATTTATGTTTGTCTCTAGCACAAAATGTTCCTATTACTAAGGATCAGTCGGGGAGTAGATTCCAGGACAGGTTTTAGTTTCTCGTGCTGCCTTAACTCAGCAATCCATTGATATGTCTCACCTGCAAGTGTTTGGGCTTAAAAGAGGAGTGGGAGCTTTGAAAATAACAAGCTGTTAGCTTAATGTTAAAAACTTAGATGCCGAATAATAGGGATGCTTTTAGTATTTGTTAGTAAGAAGACCTAAAGAATTAATCTGCCAGGGCTTTTGAGTGAGGTTCCCCCTATATATTGGCATCCATATGCATTCTTGAAAAAAAAGAATATATTCATCTATGGCTTCTTTCAACTCTGTCACCTTTCTCTATTCTCTGTCACCTATCTCTATCATCTATCCTATTACCTATTTCTCTCTTGCCTACCAATATCACCTATCACATCTATCACATCTATCAATCTATAACCTATTTCTCTCTCCACTACCTCTGTCATTTATCTATTATCATCTATCTCCTATTTCTCTCCCCATCTCTATTGCCTAGCTATCTATCATCCATCTGTCTTATCTATCACCTATTTTTCTCTCCCCATCATCTATCATTCATTTATCAATTTCTCTATTAATAATCTATCCATCATTAATAATCAATTTATCAATCACCTATCAATCATTTATCACTTGTCTCTCCCATCTGTTCATCTTCCTATCATCCATCCATCTAGCATCTATTTTTTATTTATTCATTAATCTACCCACTTATCTATCCATCTTCTATTTATTATTCATTTTTCTTTCCATCTATAATGTTTTTCTATCATCTATCTACCCATCCACATCATCTATTTATTTTTATGTGCATCATCTATCATTCACCTGCCCATCATCTATTCACTCATTTATCTAAATGTTATCTGGTCATCTATCATTTTGGTATCCACCCACCCACTCATCCCTCTCAATAGTGTTCTCTTTTCCTGCAGTTACTCTGGTTCCCAGGGCTCCTTTGCCCACAGTAGGGCCCCTCCAGGTAACACTGATCTTCACTGGCGCCTATTATTAACACATTAATACTCATTATGTTGGTGCAGTTTATTACTTTATGGGATGAGAAAATGTTTACAAGGTCTTTGAGCAAGATGGCCTAGATAAACGTCTCAGAACAGACGACAAGAGTGGGAACGTAAAGCCAGGGAGTGCGCGTGAACTGCAGTGTTTCCAGATGTGCCTGTCATAGCCGCAAAACCTCCCGTTCAGCTGAAGAGTGCCAGCGCACAGCACAGAAAGGCAGAGGTGCCGGTGAAGTGGGTGTGGGGCACAGCCCTGGAGGGGCCCTGTGGGTGCTGGGAAGCCTGGTTCCCTGTAGGTGCCAACTGGGGCCACTCTGACAACAGCCTGTGCCTCTGTGCTGGCTCCTGTGGTGGCCTTCCTACACCACTGCGGGAGGGAGGCTGCAAAGCCAGGCTGAGTGGTGCAGTCGGCCACATCAGTTAGTTGGTGGAGGGCTGGGGCCTAAAAGTGGGTTTTTGAATCATTCTGTGTGCTGTTTTCACCAGCTTCTACTTAATCCTTCACTGCCTTTCGAGTGTGCTCAAAGCCACAGAATTGTGCACTTAAAAGTGGTTAAAGTGGCAAATTTTATGTCATACATTTTACCTCTTTGAAAAAGAAGGTTTTGAGTCCTGGATTTGGTGAATAAATGTAGTTTTGTGAGAGCTGATGTAGTGAGGATTCCCCTCTCGAGGCACAACTTGTGCCTGGCGATTGTGGTAGCCAGGTGATAACGTCTGAGGGCAGATGTGGGTTGTTGAGTGTGTGGATTGGAGCACTCCATGGCTACTTTTATGCCATAAGTGTTAAATGATGAAAGTGCTGACTTACTAGCCACCCTACTGCAGTGTTTCTTATCTGTTTCTGTAGTTTGATCACACATACCTATCTTGAAGACCACAAGTCTATCTCTAATTAAAAACAATCATGTCTACCCATTGTACCCAACTCTAAGTGGTTTTGTGTATAAAATACATTATTGTACACCATCAGATGTATTCAGTTTGTGTCATCACAAAAGGGTTTACAGACCCTTCCTGCCTGCAGATCCAGTACACAGTTGTGGCCCACCATGATGATGACAATGTGTGACATGGGACATGGGCAGTTGGCTGCTGACCTAAGAATACCTCCCGCATGACCAGGTGCTGCTTAGACCTGCCTCGGGCTCCAGTCACCACTGTGGGAGCTGCTTCTGCAGAAGCAGGTCAGCACACCATGGCCCCTGCTGAGCACACAGTGCCTTTGGATTCTCATATGCAATGAAACCAGCCTGTGCTCTTGGCTGTGGGGTATGCCCTGAGAGGTGCCACTGTGTGAGCCCTGTAGAGTGTGCTCACAGAAAGCAGTCCACCTGCCCTGCCCCTAGGCACAGTGGTCTTACCGGAGCATGCTGTGTTGGTGACCCAAATGTCCTGCGAGGGTGGCTGTGTATGCTTTCCATTACTGATGTTTTGCTCCTGTGGCCGTGAACGTTGTGGGACCAGCAGTGGTATTGGGAGTAACTCTGTGGTTCAAACTATGGCTTTTTCCTTCTTTGTTTTTTCTCCAAGGCAGCACTGTGATCCTCACCTTGCTGTGAAGTTTCTCTGTGTCCTTGCCAGATAACGCAGAGCTCTGGCTTCTCTGGGAGATCCTAAGCTCTCTTCTTTCTTCTGGAAAGCAGGGGCCATCTGTGAGGCTGTTGTGTGATACCTGTTGGTCAGGCAGACAGTGGGTTCTTGTCGCATTGGTCACTCAGACTTTCTGATGTCAGGGGACTGCTCACTTGCTGGCACCCATCACTAGCCCTGCGGCTTCCAACAGGCCCTGCCTAGGGGATGCACCCTGTACCCAGTGGGGACAAGAAGATTGTGACAGCATTGTGATTTCAAGGTGGGTGCAGTGTTGAGGGTTGTGGCAGTGCGGGCCATTCTGCAGGAGTGGCTG